CCCCCCCCCCCCCCAGCTATGCTTTTCTTCCTAACTCCACCTTTGTCTTCCATGGACAGATGAATGCTACTGGAAAAAACATTCCTACTACAGCACACAAAGATCATCCCCCACCCAAGCTGCTGATTTCAAAGGATTCCCAGTACCAGCTTTGGAGAAACTTGGCACAGAGGCAGACACACAAAAAGCACACTGCTGTCCCTCAGAGATGTCCTGCACAGAGGATTTATGTGACACCAAGACTACAGGTTCGGCCTGTTACACCCTGTGCTCCACACCCTCCAAACACACCAAGGAGTGTTCAGAGCCAGCAGCTGCTCAGTGAAGTCAGCCTCTCCTCCACAAGACTGCCATCTACTCCTGCAGTGAGGTTGCACTGCTCCCACTCCAGCAGTCCGGCAGCACAGCAGCAAGCCTCCCACAGCACGCTAAGGGGGCACCAAGGATGAAGCTCCCCAATGCTGCCACAGTTGCAGGCAATATTCCAACCCACTCAAAGTGCAGGTCCAGATGTGCTCCAGGAAGTCAGTCACAGACACCATAACTGTTAGTCAGCCCCTAGAAGGCTCCAGCATTCACCCCTGCCCCATCCCCAGGAAAGCTCTGCTTAGAAAGGTATTACTTTACTCTCCTCATTCAGGTCTTGCCATGCCCCCAGAGCTTCATGACCACCAAAAGGCTTTTGCTGCCAGCTCTTTGCCCACTCCAGAGGAAAGCTAGTGGGATAATCACATTCCTGTTGCATTGCTGAACACAGATTCCTCCAGTGAAACAGGGGGATAATTCCCTCTGGTCTCCAGGGCACTGATTTAAGCCCTAACCCTGGGTCAGCAGCAGGATGGGTAAGGAACATACGAGAGCAGTGAGGGAAGACAAATACATTCCTTTCCCTGCCATAGGTTTCAGGAGAGAACTGAGCTGCAGCTGCACTTCTTACCCTGTTTTTAGGTCAGCAGCAGAGACGGAGTCCCAGGTCTTTTGAGCAACAGCAACTGCTAAACTGCATTGCGCTAGCGCCCAGTGGGCCAGAGCTCTATTGTGCTTACAGTATTTGACATAGCATATGGGAATGGAGGAGTCTCCCCAGCCCTGGCTGCAGCAGAGCAGTGCACTGTCAGACACCCAGCAGCAACTAGATACGATCAGCTGG